TAAAACTGCAATCTGAAAGTTTCTGTTTCTCAGTATTAACAATATAGCTACATTATAAATGTACGAGGACCATCTGCTGGCATTGAGAGCATCTGACACGGGGTGATGATCCGTGGCCCTGCTGTGTAACTCTGATCTTACTTTTACTTGACAGACACTGGCAAGAGTTGCTCAGCTGAAATACTGCTGGCTTTGTCCAGTATTCCCTATATTAATGGTGTTCTATAAAAGTTACCATCTCCCTTTACCTCTCAAGTTATGTTGTGATATACACAGCAGTCTAGCTGGGCATTAAAGGGGAAAAAAGGTATTTTATTAAACAGTAAAAGCTACTACGTTTATTTTAAGAAAATGGATTAATCTCTACTTTTCTTAAGGAAGCTATAGGACAAAAAATACATATTTTCTTAATTTTAATGCCTTAGTCTATGTGCTTTTAAACAAAGTCTAGTTATTGTAGCTGAAAAAGTATATATTTAAAAAAATGTTTGGATTGTTCTTATGATTCATGAAATGTAATATTAAGGCAGTAATCCATTAAGTATCTATCGCAAGATTAGCATCAGATGTGTACCTGCTGTCCCCATGAGAGTTCTTTTAAAACTTAAGTGTACTATATTTAAGCAATCATAATTGTCAATCAGCGGTGATGTGGCTTTGGAAAGAAGGAGATGGTGATGATTTCTGTTAATTTCCTAGATAAAGATCTTGGTTTCTAAAGGCCTTAATGTCAGCCTGCTCCTTTCTAGTTCTGTCTAAATGATATTCTCCTCATCTTAATGTATTGCATGGAAATATCTTGAATTAGAAAGCATGCTTTTAAGTTGTAAAAGCTTGGAATAAAAGCTGTCCAGGCAAAACATCACCTTTAATTATTCAGTCCGGCCTTTGCAAAGTTAGTTCAAATGGTGGGTGGGACATGCAGAGCACCACAGTCTTCTGTTTGTTTGTTTTTATTGGCAATACTTGATTCTTCTAGGAGTGCTAATGATTTAAGAGTTGATCTCACAAGATGACAAAAAAAGAAGTTAGCTCAGTTGTAAGGACATGTGCATGGGGCCCAGATCACTGGGATTTTATAGCTCATGCTGCATATATATAGGTGAAGGGATAATACACGAGGACCCTGTTCATGTTTTCAGGAAAAAAAAAAAAGCATAGCCATCTTGTTTTCACAAAGAACTAAAGTTTGCTATTCTGAAGCCAGTTCAAACTGATAATTTTTCTGGACCTGTCATCCTTGGTGAGTACTGGACATGTTTTCATGGCAAGCTCTGGAATTTTACTGACTCTAGCAACTAACTGACAAATGCTAGAAGATGTAGTTTGTTTTGTCTTTGACCTGTCAGCTGGTAATAAAAATTGCATGTAGTAGACCATGGTTTAAGCTGCTAAACCTCTGCAAAAATTAAAAAATGACAGTTAAGACAAAATACAGTTAATAGCTGTAGATTCTGAAGTAGATGGGATAAGAGAAGTTGGCAGTGAACAGTGGCTCGTCTCCAGCTGGCTCCACAATCCGGTTTTACTGTTAAAAATCGAAGACACCTATTAAACTTGTTAAATAGCTTGTTGAGAGGAATTCCTCAGCTTAGGTTCCTCTGCAGGAAATGTTAGTGTGTCTGAAGTGTGTCTGTGTGGAAGCTTTATGGCAGCTTTCTGATCCACGACCATTGGCTCCAGTGATGAGTGTGAGGTCACCTGCAATGATGTAGACACAGTTTTTTTTGTTGTTGTCTTGAGTTTGGTCTGTCAGTGCAACTGTTCCGTCTGCCAGAAGATGTTCTTCCCCTGCGGTTACTCAGGCATGGCCTATGTTCCTGGGCTTCGAAATACTGAGTATACCCAAGTGAAGTCATAGTTCAGTGAAGCATTTGGATTTTCTAGGAGTATTTCTCTTAGGAGTTTGGTTAATGTTTTTGAGGCTTTGAAAAGGGTTTAAATAGGGGCAATGTTGGGGTAGGGTGGAATCATATATGACAATGGAAACAAAACCATTCCACTATTTTCTATTGAGAATGCAATTTTGCTTTAGTTGACCATTGCAAGGCCATCTTTCTCTGTCACTGCCAACCTGAAAAGTCTCCTCTTTTCATCGCACTCCTAATATGAAGGTGATAGGGAACTACTTACTAAAGATGCCATTTTTATAGCTCATTCTGTATCTCGTGAATATCAGTTTGTCAAGTCCTGCTTCAACAACCAAAAAAATATACTTGCAATGCTGATGTTTTGCTGTCCTATGAATCCAGCTGTTACTGCTATTAAAACAAAACTCTGCTCTTTGTGGTTTTGCAGACAACAGAGAATTAGACTGGGGAACTGTTTGGCATTTAAGACAATCTGTTTTAACCTGGATTACATTGATGACGTGGATCAGAAGCACAAAAGTGTTTAGGCTGGTGAAAAGTATGGGCAAGAAAGACTAGACTGAGATGAGGAGAGAAAATGCAGAACTACCTGCTCTGAGAACTGACTTAAAATGGCTTTGAAACTTTATATTCATAAATTTTGGTATTTGCCTTTAGAAACTTTGGCAAAGATCTAAGTAGTGCCGGCCGGGGGGGGCTGCCACTGTGGGGGGCTGCAGCGTGGCGGTGCCCCGCACAGGGGGGTCACCGCACGTGGGTGCTCCTTCTCCCTCTCCTTCTCTGGAGATCTTCCAAACCCGCTTGGACGCAGTCCTGTGCCACGTGCTCTAGGTGACCCTGCGTGTGCAGGGGGGTTGGACTAGGTGACCTCTAGAGGTCCCTTCCAACCATGAGCATTCTGTGATTCTATGATTCTATTGGTGATAGAATAGAATGAATGTAATTTTAGAAATGATTTCTTTTAGTAAATGATTTCTTTTGTTGACTTTGAAGTGAGAAGGAATACTAGGAAATATTTAGAAGTGCTTGTCTTAAACTAAAGGAAAGAAATTAAATTAGGATCATAACTGTAAATAAAATGAAATTATTTTAAAGAATCAATTTCTGTCATAAAATGTGACTGTTTCACTTAAATAGCTAGTACAAGCAGCTGTTATATGCCTTGTTATAATCAACACAGGAGAGATCTTTAGCATGCATCTTTCTAAATAACTTGCATATTTTAAAATATTTTAACTGATTGTGAGGGAGCTCAGTTTGTCATTTTCCAATAATAAATGTGAAAGGAGATTGAAATATAAATACTGAGCAAAATTGGAAAAAAGCAAGGTGAATATAGTGTAAGTCTAAACTTAAGAGGAATATTTGATGTTTTTAGAGTTTGTGCATGATACCTCCCATACAGGAAGAGCACTTAAAGGGATGTTAAGGCATCTATGAATCATATTTAATTATATTTGTTTAATCAGTGGGATCAATCTGAAGTTTAAGGAGAAGGTAATAGAAAGGGAGCCCTGCCAGAACTCAAAGTACTCTTTGTAGATCTACTCCCCTAGGCAGAACATGAGATTGGGTCATAAAAGCAGAGAGAGAAGAAGAGTTTAGCTAGGATTCAAAAGCATAGGGTACTGTGAGCTATAAATAGCTTAAAAAATTCCTGTCCTTTAGTCAGCGTAAGTAAAATGCATGAAAGGGGAGTTGTGTTGAATTTTTTGTGCTTCGCTTTTCTTTTCTTGCTCTGCTGTGAGAAAGCCGCATGGAGATAGGTCAGTTAGTCTTTGGGCAGTATTGTGTGTATGCAGAATTACACTGTGAAAAGTGCGCCAATCTTAACCTTCTTTTTGACTTGCAAATGAGGCTGCTCCACAGTAGAGACATAGCATTTAAGGGATGTTGATAAGCTCTGTCTCTTGGCAGTTGAAGCACAAGCTTGTGTCCGCCTCTTCTGCCCAACGTTTTAAGAACGTTTATACCAAATGAACCTGCAGGTGCCCATTTCTCCTGCCCCACAGCTTGTCACCTACACGTGTCCTGGCTTGCAGATGAACCACCTCAGGTTTACACACATTGCTTCAGTCCTGGATGGTGCCATCAAGTTCCTGCCTGTGTGCAGTCTTTATCATGCGTGTTTTAATCTTGTACGTAAATGATGTGTTGTTTATTACATGTCTATATTTCATTTCCCTCAAGATGACGTTTTTGCTTATTAGTGTTTGGACTGCTATTTTATAGTTATTTGACATCAATACAGTCTAATCAGTTGTACTATGTGAGGAGGTTTGTAGAAGCAACTGCTCCCTTAATTGCTTCTTTCATAAATAATAAATGGTAGTTACTCTTTATAAATCTCAAAGTGCCATAGAGAATTATTTCCTGTCTCCTTAACTCTTTTTTTCCTCTTTTTGAATATTACTCATGACATTGTTACTCTGTGGTGTTGAAAACAGCAGACATTACAGATGACTAGAAGTAATTTGGGAAAGAAAAAGAAGAATTATGTTATTTAGCACCAGCAACAATGGTATATCATCTCTATTAAAAGTAACTACAATAATAGATTACGAACAGACTAAGACTTTTGACTTTAATATCGTCTCTCCCTCCCAATGCTTCTTTTAACAGAATTCATATTAATAGAGAGAAGGAACTACTGCTATTTAAGTGCTAGGACCTTGCTTTTCTGGTACTCTGGACAGTTTTTGATGATTTCCTGTCCTAGTTCTCAGGACTAACTTGTGATATGAGCTGAAACAGAGGTTTCAGCCGTTTCTGTACAAATATTTTAAAGGTTGAAAAGCTAAAATATCTTTGCAACTAAGAAAACAATATTTTTATTTTTTATTCTTTTATTTTTTTTTACAATACAAGCATTGTTCTGCATGTATTACTATGTTTCTGAAGGATATCTAAGTAAATAATTCTGAAGAAAGACCAGAGTACCACAGGACCACAGTTCATTTTGTCTACATTATTCTTCCAATTGCTTTCATAGGAAATACTCTTGAAGCCATTTTGCGAAAGGAAAGCTTTGTATTTAAGGCTTCATTTTTTACTGATCAAAAAAACCCTCAGAAAACAGCGAAACTCTGCTTTATTAGCTGGCATGGACTTGAGACTCAAGTTACCTGCAAAATATTTTCTCTTTGGGCTTTTGGAATTTAATATCTATTGCAAAATCTGATAATTGGTGAATGTGGCCATACCTAAATCATCCTGTAAAATTTTTGTAAAAGATTCATTAGAGGTTTTAGGAGGTGGTAAAGCTGTCTACTACTTTTTTTCACTCTACAATTGCAGGCACTTGGTTTACTATGAAGCAGCTATACTGTTTGAGATGTAGTGATGGTAACTCATCAGCAGCGTCAGAATTGTCTGCAATAAAAATCTTGTGGGTTACTAAGACTGTTCCAAAGAACATGTACTGTTGTATTTCATGTGTCTAACTGCATAATCTTGTGAAAGAGCAGGGAGGTTATATGTGCTGTATGGCACTGACTGTGGATGGGATCATCTGGGTGGTTTTGCAAGCAACACTTGTTAACTGTGTTAATTTTTTTCTAGATGCCCATGTACAGTGCTATCCAGTTATTTTTTCCTGACAGCGTAGAAGCTATTTTACCATAAACTTTTAACTTTTGTGCTAAACACAGAAAAAGCTGTTACATTCATTTGTCTTCATACCTTTTTTTTTAGTTTCCTCCTTCAGCCATTTTCCTTCACATCTTTCATGCTGTAGGGTAATCTTGCACCATCTCCCAATTTAAAAAGGAAATCCAATAATGTGGTCAAATTTTCCTTTCCTCTTTATGTAGTGTGTATAATAATGTCTGGTGTGCATAAGTGTCTAGTGTTCTTTTTCTCTGGTTCCACCAGAGCCTTTGCTGATTTGGGCACAGAATAAAATTGTTTTTGACAATGTTTCTGGTGGTCACAGGCCTTTATTCTACCTTCATTCTCTATAATCTGCCATAAGCATTTGACAACTATTCATATTCTTCTTGAAATCTTCTCTCTCTTGTCTTTCTTAACCCTGTCTAGCCATATTTTTTTCTTCTTTAACTTATGTTTTCTCAGATTCTCTTCAAATCTTTTACGACTTCTAAGACTGCCTCTTATTTTTCTCCTTATACTCTGCTGCTGTGATCTCCTGTTCCATTTTGTCTAAATTTGATAGCCTCAGTTCTTCGGTCTGTCTTCATGTATTTTCAGTTTCAGTCTGAACATGCCCTGAGGTTTTAATATGTTGCTGAAGCATCATCAACTGTGCACTTCTATCAAGAGTAAAGCTACTGGACTGTAGATCCTGTTACCATTTTTAACATTACATGCATTGGGCTCAAGATGCGCATCAGGGATCAGATTTTCAACCATAAGTTTTACCCAGAAGCTTCCAATTAAATACATTTTAATGGAAAATATGAATTTGGCCCAATGATTTTGTTTGAGAGTATAAGAGATGATATTTTTCTGAAAGTGTTATTGAGAAAGTGAATATCGTAAGCATGAAGCGTTTCATACATTTAGCAAGCTGGGTTAGAACCTGCCAAATCTGTATAGCTCCCAGATGTAGCATGTCTGAAGAAAGCAGTTACTCCTTTGGGGGAGTTCTGGCCTCTTGTATCTCCTTAAATAAAAACTGGCAAGAAACATCAAATCTTGTGCTCTGAAGCCATCCCAGATGTATCTAGTTTAAAGTAATTTACTTCTTTTTTCCTCCATTTTGATCAAGAAGATAAAATGATAATTATGTTCTGGATAATTTGTAAATTTTTTTACTGAAGTGTCACTGTGGGCTCACAAAAGATGCCTTGCGTTTATACTCAAATAGCTAATACTTCAACATTTCTTAAAAAGTCTTTTTGAGAATGCTTTTTATTGCAGAGTTTAGATGCTTGGTAATTCACTTGAAGGCTGGTTTTGTACTAGGGTTTAGCACCTGTTTGGTCACAAGAACCCAGCTCCTCAGAACAGTTCTGCATAACATATGGGGAAGTGGCTAGCAAAGTCATAAATATTAATTAGATGCTGAGGCACTTTAATTAAGACAGTGTCAAGATCTAAATCAATAAAATTGTTTAGTGTAAGTCAGTTTTAAAAAATCTATTGACACTAAAAGTACTCTTTTAATTACAGGTACCAGGAGGCTATTCGCAAATGGGATGAAGCACTTCAGTTAACTCCAGAGGATGCTACACTTTATGAGATGAAATCACAGGTAAATTAGGACAATTAATCAGTTTTGAAAATCAAAAATAAAACTTCGTGGTTGTTCAACAGATACCATATCATATTGTATGATTGCTTGCATGCATAAACTACAGCATAATTAATTTAAGGCTTCCATTTCTTCTCAGCACAAAAGGGTCTTAAACACATAGTGGAAATATGCTGTAATCTTAGTCAATCACAAAGAATGTTCTCTTGCATTGTAGCATCGTAATTCATGCCCTAGAAAACGCAGCTGAATTGTTAAATGTATATGTAAATGTATGCATTTTATATATATATTATATATCAAAAAAAAAGTCTATCCACTCTTTGTAAAGTGTTGGCTTAATACCATCACCGTTTAGCAGTGATGCTGTCTAAAAATACATGCTCCAGTTTGTGTTGATATCCAGTCTTACAGAAATTAAATTAGTCTTGGAAAAGAACATCTAAATACATTTCTTTCAATTCATCAACCCCTTGTTTTACAGCTGTATTGATGAAATAAGCCTGCAGTCATCAATGCCTCACTAAAATTGTAACTTCATTTATAAATTTGTCATTTCAGTGTGTGTCTCTATGCTACCATGACCCATTGTTTTGCTTAAGTCAGATTTTTTTTCTCATAATCTCTTTGCCAACATACAAAAATATAAATTTTATGTATTAAATGAAGAGCTCTTGTTTTGCAAAAAAAAGTGTATATATATATTTAATCGGCACTGAAGATGAGAATAAGAAATGTACGGCCCAATTTACTTTATATTAACATCTGTTAAAGTTGTCCTTTTTATTTCTTTTGCTGAAATCTTGAGTAAGATTAAATGAGAATATAACACATTGCCAAGCTGCTGAATATTTCACTTGTATTTCAATATTTCGTTTGCAGAGGATGTCAGTAGCATGGCAGTTGAGAGGGAAACAAGAAGCAGGAAAGTTAAATATTTATGAGAGCTATTCTAACAGTAAGGGATAGGGCTTTTCTCATCAGACAGACACTTCGGCTTCCTTCTTTCTGGAAGCTTAAAAGCCCTTTTCCCTGCTAATGTGCCACAACAGAAGCATGTTCAGATTTTTTTTTTCTCTGTTATTTCAGAGAAAACTGAGAGCTGTTTCCTCACTTAGCTTTTCTGGAATCCTTAAATAACACTGAATCCTTGCAGACTTTTGTCAATTTATATATGTGGTGACAAAAGGTAGAGAACAGGTAAGCAAATGGAGATGAAAATCAAAGCTAGAGGAAAGGCTATTTCAGAAATGAGTTGGATAGTAAGTTTAAAAGAGAAAAAAAAAAAAATTATGGTTAATGTGAACTTATGTGAATGCAACAGTGTGCACACAAAGCAAAGCTCTGCACAAGTTGTCTGTTTAATTGCAATTCTATTGAAATTACATGTATGCACAGTAGAAAGAATGGGAGAATAGTGAATTTTGTTCACCAGGATCCATACCACGGGTGCAGTGAGGTATGTGTGTAGGTGCTTAGTAAAACGCTATTCAACTGGTGCCCTGGCTGCAATGTCTAATACTTAGTAGGTAATACTTATTTGATGCTCCTGGTTCATTGTTCAGCTTAACAATACCACTAGAGAAAAATGAAAAATGAAAGCAGGGCAGTGCTTTGCTTCCACCACGCCTCTTGCCTGCTTTCTTGAAGGAAAGAGCACTGCTGGACAGCTGCTCCCTTTGGTTTCACTTTCTGGTATTGCATAATACCCATGTTCTCCTTCAGTGCAATAGCAGAAAGACTTATGTAGAAACAGTAATATATTTATAAAATTTCTTAAATCTTTTAAAGAAAAATGGTATTTACTGCTTTAAGGGGGCATCATCTCTATAGTACACACAAACAGCTTTTTCAGATGTTCTTTGTGGTATGACTTAATGCTTACTGGAAGCTGGCTTGGCCTTGGGGCTGGTGTGAGCTGTAAAAATCTACTTTTGCCCAAGCAGGAATATGCAATTCCTTCCAAAATTATTATGGTCGATATTCAAATTATCTTGTTTTACAGTTGAGTATGTTGTTCCAATCCACCACACTTGCACAAATGCTTAAGCTGCTGTTGTGCTGCTTGATGAGGAAGTCTTGGTAGCTTGAGATTGTGGAAGAACCACCAAGCACTGCTTGAGCCAGGGCTTGACCAGTGTTGCACTGTGCAAGTCTGCCTGTCCTGGTATGTGAGGCACATGCTATAGGGTGTGATTCATATTAACCCTGTCTTAGCACTATATGCAGAGATTCTTTATGGCATATACTACTTTCAGTGAGGAAAAGTTCCTGTTTTTTTGAGAATTAGCACTTAACATGCAGTATTCTGAATATCTGTGTATGCTGTTAAGATAAATCTTTGTTAGAATGTGAAGCAGCTTCCCTGTTTGTCAATATTTACTGTCATCAGCAAAATAATATATTTTAAATACCCCGTTGTTTAATATACAGCTCAAATAAATATGCAGACATAGTAGGAATCTGTAAACATTTATATAAAGAACTTAAAGATACGTATTTTAACAGATGTTTCATTTTGTTGGATAAATGTCCTTTAGCATTTCTGAAGAACGGAAATAATGTTTCTAATATTCAGTGACTGGTGCAATAAGTGTGTTTCCAGAAAATCATGTGGGAACTGTGAAATTGCTCAACCGTATCTTGGTTCAAAACCCTTAAAAGTTGATGAGTTTCTTTCTATTGCTGTCAGATACTCTTTGATCCATTTAAAAACAGATGGCTCTGGAATGTGGAGAGGTTAGGGTGCACATGGATGTTGTCCTTTGAGTACAAGTTGTTTCAGTTTAAATACTTCATATTCATTAACCAACTTAAACTCTTTTGTTGTTACAAGAATATTAAGTGGGAAATTGGTGTTCCTACAAGCAGATTTGTGTGTGTGTTTCTGTAAAAGTCTTTTGCGAAAGACCCACAACTTTAGTATGAATTTCAAAATTAGGTGTCTAGTATCTTAGGTGTATCTTATCATAGTGTGTAAGATCACCCAGATTACACTGTCTCTAAGCCTGCAAGAGATTCATTGCAGGCTACGTATCTTGGGTATTAGCTGGATTATTTTATTGCTGTTTTGAATTACAAAGTGGAGGATCTTTCAAAAGAGGATCTTTTGAAGAATTTTTTAAGTTTGGGTCTTTCTGCAGAGGAGCGCGTGAGGTTCTTTGGGGGGTGGCTAGGGGATAGTGAGAGGATGGGGAGAAGAACTCAGAGGGCTCGTACTCATTACATAACAATATACATGTTATAAACTCACTTAGGGCTCTTGGGTTTTGGGGACTCAGCTGTATCACATCACTCCTGAGAATCTACTTCATATTGTTGGTTATTGAGCAGCACTTGTCCCCCAGAAGTCTCAGATAACAAATTCTCAAACACCTTAGGCAACTAAATGGTGCTATTCCTGCTATTCTTTTGGTGTCCTGAATTTACATAATAGTTTAGTATTGACGATGCACAAATATTCCTATATTTGATTGTCAGGGATCACTACATCATGTGTATAATTGTTTACCATTCCTTGAATTCACGCTTAATGTGACTCAGGTTTAAAAGTAATATAAATACAAAATTACATATCCACAGGAATCCCAAAGTGTGCAGTGCAATTATGTATATATATAAAATAGCTTATATATATATGCACACACACGTGTATTTATACATCCTGCAAACGAGAGCAGTAAGCAGTCGAAATGAGCTGTATTCGATCAGCTTTTTGGGTGTGGGGTTGGTCCCTTGTTGCCTGCAGATCTAGTTTGTCCACAGCCCTGCCTTCTTGGTTTGGACTCATGGAGCAGCATTTCAGATGCATATCTCTTTTATAGTCCAAGCCTATAATGTTCAGATTGAAACCATCCCCTCCCCTGTTCTTAGGAGTTTCTTAAGCCTTAACTCAATAAAGAAATAATTTCAACTCCAGCCTGTCCCTCTTCCTGCTTGAGAAATGATAGGATTCCCAAGGTTTGACCAGATTCATAATGCTTGGTTTGTATTATAACAAATCAGCTAATAATTGCTGGTTTATATATAGTTGATATAAACATATGTTGGTGCGCTACATGGACATTACTGGCACTTATTTGAAACTAGCCCTGCTGGTGAAAGATCAGTTTGTGGTGGTGAGCTGGGCAGTGACTGCCCCCAAGCTGTTTGAGGAGTCCGATAACAATGTAAAGGAAGAGAGGAGAGGGATGTGTGTGGATTTTCCACACCACTCCCCACCCTGCCCCAGACCCACTAGAATCCTGGAACAGATCTGTTTCCTGGAACAGACCTTTGGGGTAGATGTGACTCCACTGCAGTCCATGTGTTTCATGTAGGTATGAATCAGCTTGGACTGAGTTTATTGTGCTCTTCCAAGAGTCTAAACTGCTGTTTTCATGTGGCAGACTCTGAAACTCTGCTACAAAAAAGTATTGAAGTCTATTGATTGAAAAAGGATTGTACATTTTTGCAGACAGCAAAAACATATAGGACTCTAGTATTTAAAATAAGTGCTATTTCTGAGTGAAATCAACGTCATGGTTCAGTGCTATTGCATCTGTTTAGGGTTAAAAAGAGATTCACGGAGAGGGTTGGAGCAGATAATCTGCCTACTCTGTTTTTTTGTGCTGTACTTGAACTGCATTTGATATTCTTTGTGACATTAGATGAACTTCAGGTTATTCACTACAGGAACTGCTAAATTCTTCTTGGAATCCTAGTCAGTATTGACCCTTATTTTATTGACCCTGAATGCCTGAGTTCAAATACTCCTGATTTATAATATTTGAGATGAACCAGTTTGTGATTTGCTGAAATTATGTAAAGTTTCAGTAACATCTCAACTGCTTAAGCTGGAAAGCTAGTAAATATTTTAGTGTTTTGTATTAGTCCAATATATTTCATTTGGAAGAACTTCACTGCTTAGTAGGGTTACAGAGAAGATGGATTTTGAGTGCACGGAAGGGCACTGGTCAGCAGTTGAGCAAGGGAAATTCTGATTGGTACTTCTCAGTGAAGGGGGTTAAGCATTGAATTGATTTCTGAGAGACATCAGAGATTTTCAAAATGGAAAAGTTCTTCTAGTTCTTCTAATCTGTTCTCACTTTTATGATTTACAACATATGCAATACAATGAAAGTAAACAATACAGTGAAATGTCATTAAAAATAATAATAATAAAATGCCTTGAATACTTACATAGGTGTTTTAGTACTATATTGCACTGAAAAACACTGGTAGAAGATAGCACATTTATGAGAACATTCACTAAGGTGAAAATGTATTTGCCTGGTTTTGTCTCATTGCAGACTTTGCTCGAAAAGTATAATTGTTGAGAACTGCTGTTTATAAAAAAAAGTGTGGGGAGAAATGGCATGGCATTCAGCTATGAGGTGGCTCTTATGGGTTTTTTTAGCAACTTTCCAAATTCCTCTGTGCATCCTATCAAATGGAATTAAAGAGAGACCTAGATGACTATCCGCTAGAAAAATTTAGTCATTAAAATGTTGCGAATATGGATCCAAGGTGCCTTTTGGAATTGTGGGTTCAGGGCTACTGCTGTAAAGCTGTCTAATTCTTTTACTGTACTTATCCTGGTGTTGCACATGTATTTTGTGGTAGTTAATGGCATTTTAGTCTTGTTCCTTTCCACACTCATATTTGTATATTTAATATATTGCAGGGCAGAAGGGTTAAGCAAATGCCTTTTACACTTCAGTAGTTGTCTTAATCTGCTCCGATAGTACTCATCGTGATTGCGGGTCGGTTGGGAAGAAAGTGGTCTCCCACACATGAGTCTTACTCTGGTGGTTGACATTTTCATCATACAATTGGAATGCAGTTGTCATTTGTTTCTTAGACTGGTATCTATCACCATAGCACATGGTGTCTGCAGTCATGATCTCAGAGTAATGTAGGTGTTCAGGTAACATGCCAATTTCATGGAGGTTTTGCAGAAACAGGGACAAGCTTTGAGTTGCTTTGAGTTCTGTGTCTCTTAACTATGATTTATAGGTTTAGTTACAAAAATCCAGTGTGAGGTATAGAATGGTAACTGACTTCTGCTAAACTGTACAGTTGAATAAAAGGTTTCTACATTTGGAAACCACTTCAAAAATACTATTGTATGTAATCAATTTCATGTCTAAATAAAGCATTCTGCAATAGCAAAACCTACCTTCCAAATATAACAATCATTGTTAAGAGTTGTTTCCATGCTGAATTACAGGGATAGTTTCCATTATTATATCATGTGAACTACCAATGTATTTGGTAGATTTTGGTCTTCTGTTAAAAACAAAAAATAAAACAACAGTATTATTTGAAAAAATACTTGCATTTGATTCTTAACCTGCTTGTCCTTTAGTGTAATAGAGTGATTTGGTTACTTGAGAGTGCTAAGATTTGGCGGGCGGGAGAGAGACACTTTCAGAAACAACTTATCTCCTTCTAAGAGTTTCCTAAATAAGTTAGATGAATCATGCTTTAGCATACCTGTTTCTCTCTGTGGGCTATGGAACAAATTTAGGTGACTCTTGGATTAGACAACTAAGTTTTAAATGACTAAAAGCTAGACGGGAGGAATTAATTCAGTTACTGAAACTAGGGTGGTTCTGGGTAATACCAGAAAACTTAATTCTGTTTTCAGCTCTAATTATTCCTATTATTCTTATTTCTTTGTCGTAGGTCCTGATGTCTTTGCATGAAATGTTCCCAGCAGTGCATGCAGCAGAAATGGCTATCCGGAGAAATCCGCGTTCCTGGGATGCATGGCAGACTTTGGGACGTGCCCAGCTTGGATTGGGAGAAATAGCACTGGTAGGAAAATGGGAAAAAATACTGCAGCTGTAAACTAAAATTGTTAACCACGTCCTCTGAATTGTGTGTTAAGAGAATGAAAGTACTGAAATATCAAAGCAGCTTAATATCCTCATACAGCATTCTTCTTGTGTGGTTTTTGTTACTGGACCTGTGGAAAATCTGTCTAGCTCAAAGATTTTGTCACATGCTGTATTTACATTGTGTTTTTTGCAACAAAATGATTATGTTGATGCACCTTCATATACTGCATTCCAGGTAGATGCATGGCTGCAGTTTAGTTTACCATGGTTTAAAACTGGAGGAACTGTGAAGCCCCAGTTGATACTCACTTTTATACACAAATATTAAGGGAATTCTAGGGCCTCGATTTCCCTGTCTCGTACTACCCTTTGCATCAGCAAATCATACATTCTCATTCATGTTTGCTTCTGGATCATTGACCTCGCTTGGCAGATGAAGGGAGCAAAAATTGGAACTTATCTTCTCTGTCTGCAGCCCTGTGATGTGGCACCATCTCTGCCACACAGTGTGATGTAAAAGGAGACCCTTCCTGCATAACACTCACCCAGGTCTAAAGAACTTAAATAATGTAGTGTAAGTAACGTAACTATATATTTTCTCCTAGTTAGTAAGTAATCACAGTGAGTGAAACTTTTTAATTAAGATGTGTATGCAAAGTCCATTAGAAAAATAACTCATTATGAGCTCTCAATAAAATAAAACCAATATCTTCCTTTCACTTCTAACATAGGTAGCAGTGTGCTGTTTTAATACAAATAAACAGTTTTCTCATTGATTTAGAGTCTTTTTAGAAAGTTAAAATGTTTTGACCGAAAATTTTTAAGAAAGTTATTTTTCTAAATGGACTAACAGATCATGCAAAAACAGTGTCTTTCTAAAATACAGTATGAAGTGTTGAAAAATAAAGCATGAGAATAACATCAGACAAAAGCTGTCTTGTGTTGCAGATGTGCAGTGAACTACTTTATGTTGTTCTGGCATCATAATGTGAAATTTAATATAAATTCATATATAGCTGGATCATGTTATGTTAAATAACTGGTGATATTCCATGGCTTTTGCCATGTAGTTGCTCAAAACAGTGCTCTGGTCTACAATCTATAAATCATTTTTAAATTAAGTTTCTGAAATTGCTTCTGTAAATTATGTCAGAGACTTTAAATGCACTAGTGTAAGGAAATTTGAAGCTGTGTTTGCTCAAAAATTACGTCACTGATGCTGTCTATCCTACAGTAAGTGCTACAGTTATGGTAATGAAAACTGTAGATACTGGTTTATCCTTTCCAGTTAGTAGAGTTTTACCACCAGGCCTGCTGACCGCGTTGCTTAACCTCTCTGCCTTAGCAAGTCAGATCACGACAGTAAGGGGGGTATATAGCTGTAATGGTGGGGCCCTCGTCCCTGCATTAAATGCATTTTGCTTTTGTTCAGATTAACTCTATTGCTTGGAGCACTTCAGTTGCGGTCTTGGAATGCAGGGTTCAGTTGGGAAGGAGCACAGTTTGTTCCCTGAGACTCTTCCCTAATGCAAAACACAGCATGTTAAGTGGGAACAACTGGAGATTTGCACGAAAGCACATTCCTCATCAGAACTGCTACTATAGATAACACCTGCAGTTATGTTATCTCGACCCTAACTGTCACTGGCAAGTGAGTTATCACAAGGTATTTTGCCCCCTGAATGTCTGTGTGTCTCAAGTAGGGAAGCCAGTGAGAGTAAGCTCCTTTCATCTCCAGTCCTGCTGTGTGGTATTTTATATATTACTGTTAAAAACAATTACTAAAGCAGTTACTTCTACAGAACACATGGCAATGACCTGTGAAGATGCTCCCCCACTGTAAAGACAGGCAACAAGCTCTGGAGAACGAAGGAAGTTATAGGATTAAGGAAAATGCAGCTTGGAGGAAAACTTGAAAGCGGAGCCAGCAGCTGGCAGATAAATGCTCTGAAGCTGTAATGTGTATTGAGACGGTGACCAGGGGTGAGGGCAGCGAGGTGAGGAGCGGCTGTGGCTCCCCTCGCGCCTCAGGGTTGGGGCGGAGCTGCGGCCTCCGGTGTCTGTGGGGAGAGGGTGGACGTGTGCTGAGTCACCCGGGGATGATGCATCCCAGCCCAGTCCGTGAAAATTCCCTGTGGGGGAAAAGTGTTAAACATAGGAGAATTAAACTGCCATCAGCTCACAGACCAAATGTATGGGAACAAGGATTTTTTGCAGGTTTATAACTTGACCAAATTCCAAAGGTTTAACGGAAAAATCTCATCTCCCACATCCAGAAAAGGTCCTACTGTATATCTCCTAAGTGTTAAAACATGGGTGCTTTAGAATAAGCTTAGGAACTGCAAGAGAGTTAATCCCCTCTTCCTTGAAGGTGGAAGGTTTTTTTTTTTTTCCCAATGAGGTAGATTTTGTTATTCTTGTTTTAAACAAGAAATGCAGTGAGGAACTCGGCCAGTGCCTTTAAATGTTACATCTCTTCTTTAAAACTACAAAAAATTCCAATTCTTTCAGATGTTTTCTGAATTTTTAAAGATTCAGAAAAACTCTTAATTTCTAAATTTTTAAAACTCTAGTTTTAAGAGTTTATGCAGTCTAACCTGAAAGGCAAATAGGCTTTTCTATCTACTTAAACAGGCTAAACTTTTGAAGAGAAAAAAAATCTCAGTTGAAATCTTGTATACAAAAAGATACAAACACAGAAAGAAACAAAAAAATCTACCTCATTTAAAGTTTTTCCACAAAAATAAATTCATTTACCTTCAAGATCTGACAGTGTTCTTATTCTGATGGCAATTGCTCTGTGTATGAGACGTATGGTGACCTTTACCCCTAAAAAGGTTAGGGAGCATCTTGGGAGGTTGTGTAGTTTACATATGTCACATATTAGAGCTTTATACTATCTGACCAGTTTTAAAGGATGGACTTTGCACGCATGTATGCATGTATAGTTGTTTACATTTAATAATCATGATGGTTAATAATCCTTTTTTCTAATATCCAACACATTTTACTGCAATTCAAGCCTGCTACTTCTTGTATTACTCATAATGAATATGAATACACAATTTTTGCAGAAAAGCCACCATGGTAAGAACACTAGTCTGATGAAAACTGATCTTTACATTAAAGACTCTGCACATCAACAGAAGAAATCCTGACCACAAGGCAAATGGATGGGGTTTGATTTTTTTCATGTAGAATATCCAGTAGTGAGATGAAATTTAAAATATTTTGAACGTATGAAGCCTTCAAAAGCTGTAACTGAGCAAGCAAGAGTGTATTGCAGTGGATTTTTGTAATACTCTCCATTGTAGATGTAAAAGCAAAAGTGTGTATGTATACTGATTTTATATTTCATAAGCCCTTAGATGTAGGGTCTCTCGAGACAAAAGTTGCCCATTGAATCAAGATCAGAAGCATCAAGTGTATCAGGCTGAAACACTTTTCCGGTAATGCCAGACAGGCAACTGCAGTAAGGTAAGAAGATTCCCCTGCCAATGCAGACAGGAGTTAGTGTTAGCACTTGAATTGACCCATGTGAATGGGTTTGGTATTGCTTGTAAATTTTCTTTCAGCAATGCTCTGTAATGATTAAAATTATAAACTGGATGAGAAATAGGAATATAAATGACTTTGGCACCTTATATTTGTCAAGTTCCAGATGGATGGTTAGATCAGAGAGTGATTTAAGAGCTATCTGTGCCAGTTTGGCATTTATACTCCTGGATTTTAAGTTTTTTTGTCACAGTATGAATGAATGACTGGAGGCAGGTGCAGTGGCAACATGAAATACTCTGTAAGTGACAAATCTGCATTTTTTCAGGATTGCATTGGTGCTTTAAGGCTTATGCTCTAATATTTGCACCTCTTGAAGTATAGTTATACCCTTCTATAATTGTCATGTGCAATTTTTTTTCCCAAATAGGCTTACAAAACTGATTGTTATGTGTTGTATCTACATGAATTATCAAGGAAACATCTCAGTTTATTAGCTACAACATTGCTGTTTGTAAAACTGCGGTTACCTTATAAATTTGTGTTTCATTACTGTGTTTGGTGTTCAATGTGCATGAGCATAACTATACATGGTAGACAGGTTTTAGGTGGGAGGCCTCTTTCATGGGAAGTTTAAAAACAGATGATGTTTGTTTATATTTTCAAAAAAAATGACAAAAGAGAGCATGTAGTGTTTATTTCTAACTCTTCTGTCCCTTGAAATTAAAAGTCAGCAAAACTGAGTGACACTGTTTTGCAAGATTTAGACTGTTCGCCTTATGTCTTAAGACCAGCAAGCTCCTACACTTCAGATCTGGCTGTAGGCCAGTGGTAAAGTATTGAGTGTTTTTTTTTTTCCTGGAACTGAATGTCTGTCTATTACAACAGCAGTGCTACTTATCAGTGTATCAGCATTTCTTAAAAGAAATGAGAGATCTGAGTGTCTTGTCTGCTGTGCTGAGTTCAGTTCATGTCATACAGACAGGAGGAAAATAATAATTAGCACTTTCTGTTGATCCACATGGAAAGTATTGCTTTTCCAAACTAATGTACATGCTTTGAGTATTTATAGAATCACAGAATACTTAAGGTTGGAAGGGACCTCTAGAGCTCATCTAGTCCAACCCCCCTGCACACGCAGGGTCACCTAGAGCACGTGGCACAGGACTGCGTCCAAGCGGGTTTGGAAGATCTCCAGAGAAGGAGACTCCACAACCTCTCTGGGCAGCCTGTTCCAGTGCTCTGTCACCCTCACGGTTAACATTTTTTTCCTTAAGTTCCTGTGGAACTTTTGGTGTTTCAGTTTGTGGCCATTACCGCTTGTTCTGTCGGTGGCCACCAGGGAAAAGAGGCCGGTCCCATCCTCTTCACTCCCTCCCTTGAGGTACTTATAGACACTGGTCAGGGCCCCTCTCAGCCTTCTTTTCTCCAGGCTGAACAGGCCCAGCTCCCTCAGCGCTCTTCTTAATGCACCCCAGGATCCCATGGGCCTTCTTGGCCACGAAGGCACACTGCTGCCTCATGGTCAACTTGTCATCCACCGTTGATGCCCAGGTCCCTCTCTGCAGAGCTGAGCTTATAAATCACAGAAGAACATGGTATTTGGTGGTTGTTCATATGTCTTGAAATCTTAACTATGAACTAGCAGCACCATCACTGTTTTTCTACCCCGCAGGAAGAATTGGTCGCTCAGGTGACTTCTTCCATTGCTGATCACAAATTATAAATGTGAAAAATATAAATATGTGCATGTACATGTATAAGTTACAGTAGATAAAGTCAGTGTTGACCTTCTCATTGTTAATATAATTACAATTTCAAAACAGTTGTAAATTTTGGTCCAGTATTTTTCCAGTTTTATCTTATTACTTCTAAATGCCATGCTTACTTCATTATCTCATTTATTTATTTATTTTTAAGTTCTGGATTGAATATTTGTATTTGTGGTGCGTTTCTCAATTTAAATGAGTTAGGAGTTCTTAGAATGGGAATTTTATACTTTTCTCTGAGGTTAGATATTTGTAGCCAATTTGCTCAATTTATTTGCTCGATTTTACAGAAGCTACTTACCATGGGTATATGTGACTCTAATATTAAATCAACATATGAAATCACTACCTGCTAATTTATGAGGGAGTAATACTGGTGAAATTTCACATCCCAGTTGTCCCATTTCTGTATTTGTTTGAACTTTTATCTGTCTGCTCACACCTTCCTGTATATATGATGATAGGAGAAAACTGGGATAAAAAATGGTAAAAACAGAAAATATTTTGTTTTTCCCCCTTTAATTAGAATATTATTTTAGACCTCTTTCTGTTGGAATGAAGAGGTCATGTGACAAGTACTTTCAAACAGCCAAGTTTATATGGAAAAGCCACTTCTTAAAATGTCTCAACACATATGTTGCACTTCTAGACACTTCTTTTCTGTTTCATACTTTATAAGGCAGGTCAATTTATAAGGCTGGTTCAATTGTAGTACTATTAAGTACTACAATTCTTTTCCAAATTTTCATTTAAAAGAAAGGTTTTAAAGGCTGTTTGTTTCTCTAAATAGACCACCTTTGCTTCTGAAATTATATTTGTGCCTTTATTGTCAAGTTCCCGATTTGTGCCTTCTTGGTTCTTTCCGCCAATTGCACATGCATTTGTTTGGGGGTGACACTGTAATTGAACTTACAGCTAGGAGGATGTTCCAGTAAAGGCAGATGGGAACAAAATAATTGTTGTCTTTGGGAAAACGTTAATTTACAGTTAATTTCTGTGGTATGCATTCTTTAAACATTCCAATCTGTGTTTTTCCCCTTGTTCTGCTTCTAGGCAATCCGAAGTTTTCAGGTATCCTTGCACATCTTTCCAATGAACCCTGAAGTATGGAAAGAGGACCTTTCTTGGGCAAGAAAACTCCAGGAACATAAGGAGAAGGCAACAAAGACTAAGGCAATGCAAGCACTGGCGAAAGAGGCTACACAAGAACCAATCCCAGACTATGACTTCGAGAGCGATGAGATCGTGGCAGTCTGTGCTGCCATCGCCGAGAAGGAGAAAGCTCTTTCAGAAGCTAAATCTGTCGTGATTGTGTCTGCGTCAGGCGCAGTGGAGACTGTTACTGAGGAGGAAAACCGTGCAACAACTCCCGATGATACCAACTTTATCAGAGCCCGATAGGGCACCCTGGGATATTGCCTGTACTGTTTTGAGAACTAGTTATTTATTCTATGTTGAGATTTTTTTTTTCTTAACCAGGTGGGGAGCCTAAAAAAGCTATTTTTTTTCTTTTGAAAATTCTGATTTGATTGAAATTATTTTTCTTTTAAAAAAACATAAATCTGACTGAATTTGTCCTCCCTCTCTGCTTTTGGGGACAAAAACTAAGAGTTGATTTTAAAAATCCCATGAGCAAATTCAGTGTTAAAATGCTTAAATACATTACAACATCATTTTTAATGTAACCATATTTAATAATTGTACGAATTACTGTCTACATTTTCCCAGTAATTAGCTATAATTTAAAATACAAAACAAAAGGGCAATTTGTTGTAAATGTTATGTTTCAGTCCTTAATCATTAATGAGTATCAGCCAGGCTGAGTGTAAGCTGTTCTCTTGTTCTGAGAAGTCTGGCTGGTCCTTATTTCAAATGCACTATAGATAGCACCAAAAGGAAAGCAATAGGAGCTGGAAATAGGTACATCTCTGAAGTGTAACATTTTTATCCCTTTCCTCCCCGCCAAGGATGAAAATCCTGTAAAGGGAATCCATATTTTTTCATAGTTCTTATAATCCACCATTCCTTGGGGAAACCAGTGGTTCAGGACAGCGTTGCCTCAGTCTCCCTTTTAAAGCTTCCATGGTTTTGGATAGTGTGGGGGGTATTTGCATTGTGTTAACGCAGATGCTTCATCTAGGAAGGTTCTTTGTCCACCTCCGTCTTTCTGCATCGGGGGAGCTCGTGTTGCCTCCTCACAGGGCAGTGCAGAGAAGCAGTCGCGCCGCTTCCTTCCCTGGCCGCGGGCTGAGGCTCTGCTGCCTGCAGAGACGTTTGGGAGGCTGCTGCTTTGGCAAGTGTGGAAGTAGGCACCGAGAAACGTCCACCTTGTGCAAACTGACTTTGCTGAAGTTACCTCCTGGTGCAAAACTAGATTTTAGTTCTTGTTTATTTCCAGGCACATATAAGCTTACCTAAGTGTCTATATAATATACAGCTGTATTTTAAGTGTTGCAGTGACTATGAATCAAAGATACTTTAGGGAAAAAGGATCAATTCAGGAACTCCCAGATAATTCAGAGTATATACGGGAACATATATTTTTTGCAGAATAATTGGATAATTGTCATATTTTTAATTGGATAATAATCAAAATGTTTGCATGGCAAAGATAGGTTTGTAGCAAAGGGAAAAAGTTTTGGAATCAGTTATCTGCCTTCTTAATATTTCTTTCATCTTTTCAAAATTAAAGTATTTTTTAATTAAAATAAAAAATGAAAATGTTTCAAGACATTTTGAAAGAAAATTACATGATTTACTAGAGAAGCCTACTTTTTTGTTTGCAAAACAAAATGTATTCTAGAAAAATTATTTAGCTCAAATCATAGTTTCATTTGAATCTTGTTAAGTCTTTAAAGGGCATTTACAGTCTGTACAGAAATAGATTTAATTGCAGTGTTGTACTAATGTTACTGTGTTTTCATTAATTTTTGCAAAATTATTCTTGAATTTATTTTGTATATACAGTAACTTTCAGATTTGTGAGCAGTTATATGCACACACAGACAATCCTTTTACTTTTATTGTCTGAGTATTCAAAATAATTATAATTACAGTAATTAAAATATGCTAAATCTAATGCAGACACCACACAATGCTATACTTTAATTTGTTCATTCAGGTCTAGGACAGATCCTTAAATGCTTATTGAATAGACATTTGATTAACATACTGTTTGATGGAAGTTTAGAATTGTCCTTATTAAAGAATTTTGTAATCTTGCTGTTTTTCTAACAACTTAAGCCATGCTAAGTAGCCACAAGAAGAGTTAGTAGAAAGGGTATGGACAGATTTCCTACAAGAACAGACATCATCTGACCAAGGAAGATACGTGCAAGGTGCAGTAAGGTTTGTAAGCTAACACTTTTCTTAGCCTTGTGTGCTTGCATGAGGGTGTCGGTATTTACTGGTACAGTTAGGACTTGGCCTCCATCTCCTCAAAGGTCCATGTAACCACTGAATCTGCTCCCACTGAAAAGATTCACATAAATGTGCTTATTGTTCTGACTAGATTAGGCTGTGAATTCTAGGTGTTGTCATGATGCTAATGTCTTGTAACAAGCAGCAGGTAAGTTCTTGTGACCGATGTGTTATTCTCAACCTGGGAAGTTTGACATCTGTTTTTTTGTACAGCATGTCATGTTTTGCATCTGTTTTTGATTTTGATCTGTTTGAGTAAAACATTGACTTTCTGCTGCTTGGCGATGCCGTTTTATTCTTTGGTTTATGCCAAAGATACCATTGGCTTCTAGGATGATATTCATTTAATCAGTTGTTTCTGAACATGTTAATGCGTATAGTAAACATCACATCTCAGGAAAAAAAAAACTGTTTAAAAAAGTATTGCTCAGCCCTTTTAATCAGCTTAAAAGTACTCAAATAAGAGACACAAAACATAAGGTAGTGTGTTCTGAATTACATCCATGCTTTGCCAGCAGGAGTTTGTTCCTGTCAGTGGCTGCATTTGCTGCAGCGCATCCCCCTTCCGTGACAAGTGTCTAGTTGAACGCTTAACAAAGTGCTGCAACGCAGTAAAAGGAGGTTTCAGTGACAACACTAGTTACAGGGGGTTAGTTTTGCTTAGACATCTTTAGACGTTAAATTTTGAATTTTCTGCTTTGATTCCGTTTATGTTCAGTAGAAAGAAATGCACAGCTTCAGAGGGCCGTTCGTATGCCTGATGTTAGATGGCTATCTTGGCATGAGATGAATCAGCCTCCCAAAGTGCCTAATTATTCCCATCGACTGCAAAGGAAGCCTAAGGTGACTGACTGACAGATGGCTTTAGGCACTGAAACAGGGTGGATGAATTCTACTCTTCTAGACTGAGATAAATGTCTGTATAAAACATATGTTTTGAAGATAATAGAGGGTAAAGAAAGTACGGATAAAGGAAGTTTATCTAGGTAACACAGCAGTGACTAATTTCATAATATGATAAAACATTGGATTTTAAAAGTAGTTGAGGAAAAAAAGGAAACTTAGTGGTTTTGTTTAGTTTTCTAGACCCTACTAGCCACCTTCAAGTGACTGGTAGTACCTGGGGCTAAGATGAGAGGTAATGTTGAGAAAACTGTTTTAACAGTAAAGGGCAAGTGTCCTGTATGTGCTTAAACCAATGGGGAGGAGGTAAAAGCTTGTGTTGAGGTCAAGTGCTCTCTGAAACTTTAATTATGGCTTATGTAATGTCTATGAAACTAAGGGTAGTTAGAAGTGGGATTGAAGAAGGCAGAAGTTTTAAAGACTTAGTTTGTCAGATTGCACATAATGCATGTGATTGCAGTAAACATCGGTGCTATTTAACATCATGTTCTCCAGTGGATTGGACTCCCTTGGCTGTGGTAGGTCCAGGGAGCACAGGCTTAGAAGCAAGAGGTGCTTGTGAGAACAGGTGGCTGCTGAATGCTCTCACATGCACTGGCCTAGCTTTAAGGCTGGTTTGCAGGTGCAGTGACTGTCAGACCTGTGTGGTTTGTAGGGAGGAACGGATCAAGGGGAAAGATCGGAGATGTAGACTGAGTAGCAGAATTTGGGTTTGAGAGCAGGCTGTTTGTACAGTAGTTCATTTCCAGATCAGCTAAAGTTAATACTTTAGTTAATACTTAGAGTGATGAGGTGTGATGGTATTTAGTGGCTTTGATATTATTAATTCTGTTCTGAGTAAATTAAATTTACAGTTGTATCTAGGAGCAGAACAGGGACTACAATTCTTCATAGAAGGCTTCCTCGTTGGGGTGATGGCTGCTGCCATTTGAAAATAGTGCATTACTGTTTAGGCTTTGCAATCTCACCTATATCACTAGTTTGGGTTAGATGGTACTAGTTTTGCAGGCAAGAGAGGTGCAAAATTTTGTCTTATTACAGGTTTCTACAGCCCCACTCTTACAGCCCAGTCACTACTGGTTTAAGATTTTTATCTTAAACCCTAATGCTATCTTGTGTTTTTGTTTGGGAATTCTGTCTCCAACAGGCATTTACTCTCATCCTGCCCGTGATGGGTACATTCTGTAGGCCATGCTGCAGGACACGGGCTCAGACTGAATTAGGAGCGGGTTTTCGAGAACAGGATGGGGTGGAGGAGTGGAAAGGCTTTTGTGAAGCTGTGGTTGGGGGTTGTAGATGCAGGCTGGCTGTTGAGAGCATTGGTGTAAGATTGCTGCTGACAGAACTAAGCAGGACAGAGTCAAGGAGAGGTAATTTGGATCCGGGATTTTTATTTATTTATTTTTTTTAATGAACCCTTAGATGGCCGGAGAAAGGATGCAGATGTGGAAAGCAGGCTCTGTCAGGGGTGCATGGGTCTCTGGGAAGTTGGGAGTGGAAGGGGAGCTTTTATGCGTGAGAATGGGAAACCGTCTCAAAAATGTATAATGCCTAGCAAGAAAATAACCTTTTATTTTAACTTTAATGTATCTAATTTCTATGAACTTCTAGTTTATTTACTTGTTTTACTGGACTAGTTACAACTTGAAGAAAGCTGAGAAAGAGAATTCAGTAATCTACTCGTGGTCCATGTACAGTGAGAATGAAGGAAGGCTCCAAAGCAGGTTGGGCCTGGCAGGCAGGGGTGCAGTGTCTCACCCTGCTCAGTCCTATTCGCCAGGCTGATGCTGAACATCAGGCTGTGTTTGTATCTAGGTGCTCCCTGTTTGTGTTTGCGCTCTAATGTTGAGAGTTCTCATAGACAACTGTGTTCCTCAGGCAACTTTTTAACGTGTAAGTTGATGGGCAATCCTTGAGTTTAGTGTTGAGGGAATTACTGATGATCTGCTGTGTGCTCTGAGTCCAGTTTGCTGTTGACATACCAGCAATGCTGTGGGCAAGAAGAGGACCAAATGCTCATCACACACGTACTAAGAAACACGTTTTGCTAGAAGGTCCACTATTTAAGATGGTCCCCTGTATTTATTTTTCATCAGTAAAATATAGATTTTGCTCATTTAAATACCGTACACTTTTATCATGTGTTGCTCTCTAATTCCGTTGTTACATTCAGTGCCAATATTACTGGAGTGCTGTTTCATCTCGCCTCCAAAGGTGTTGCCTTAAATGTGCATAGGTTGTTTAGCTACAGATAGCAGTTCACCTGCCTGCTCTGTCAAGTGCTACACCCTGTCTTGGGAAAAGGGCAGGTGTGTTCTAGTTGTTGGTCACTAGTAAAGCAATAGACCATAGCTAAGTGGTTTAATTGCAAAGAATTTGGACAGATCTTTAGCTGCAGTAGGAAGTTGGGCAATACTGTTCTCCACCTAATCCCAGTCAATAGTAATTTCTGGAGCAAATATTTGTGCAGAGAGTTAACTTCACTTTCCCCTTGCAGCCAATCAAATAAAGCTCAGCTGCTCCTCTGCTAATGGAAAATACATTGATCATTTTTCTTTTATTGTGTGAAGAATTTTCTTGGCTCTGTGTCAGTGTTCTCAGGGCAGTTTTTGAAGGTGGCCTCCTCTTGCTGATGGTGTTGGTGCTGTGGTGTTTTGGGAACTTGCAGAGCAACGTATGCATCTCAAGAGTGTCCAAGTGCAAACTGTTCCAAAGTGGGTGGCTTATTAAAGGTGAGGGGTTGGCGCTGAGTGGCAGAACTGCATAGACTTCTGAGATCAAGCAGAACATTACCATTTAATTGTGATCCCCAAAATGATTTTGGTCCATACAACTGCTTAAACATATCATCGACATAACACTCAAAATTTTCATAACAATAAAGCATTTCACATGAAAACACTTTAAGCAGCATGCCTAGTATTTGACAAAACATCCTCCAGATATCTGTACAGAAAGTGATTTTGATAAAACAGTTTTTCTGGAACAAGATCTAACCCTTACAAAATAAAACACAACATTCCTTTTTGTCATTGATGAACAGTTTTTTTGTGTGTGATGATTTTGCCATTAAAACACAAGGAACAAGTAATTTTCAAGGAGTTCAAGATAAGGATATGGTGTTCCATAAACTGTACTTTTAAATGAAGATTCTGCTTCCATGGTTTTGTATGTTTATTTGATGGAATATCAGATTACACAGTGATAAAAATTCTATATACTATTTAAAGTAAAACGATAAATGCTATGAAAAAATACCTTTATTATATCAGTGATGTTTTAACTAAAGTGAATAGCAAGACTATTAACCAGGGATTGAAAGTTTTAGGGTCCTGATATTTAAAAGCATTTCTATATGTCCTTAACTTTACATGTAAGGAGTCTCCCTGGCAGCAGAGGGACTACTCAGTTGGGCAACATTAAGTGTGTGTTTAAGTGTGTGCACAGTGTGGGCTGGAGCACTCCAGGAGGAGCTGATGTGTTATAGAAACATTTTTCAGCACGTAAATAAAATCTGGCTTTCTAGTATGTACATGTACTGAAAAGGAATATTCTTAACTGAAAGGATGTTTTCTTTTTCTCTTGTAGTAGCACATATTCCCATTTCACTCCGAGATTTTATTTATTCTTAGATAGAGAACTAACTCGCATCAGCTTGTGAATCTAGGATAGCCAACAAACCTAAAACAAGAATGTCTTCCCAGCAGACAGTACTTGGGGAAGAGAAGGCTGGCGATCATTTCTATATACCTTGTATTAATACAAAACCTTCTCATAGAGAAGAATACGCTTTTAAATATTTTCAATCCTGACATATATACAACAATAAAAATGATCTTCCGAGCGCCGTACCCTACACAACAGTAAAAAATCACATTTTCATGCTTTAGTGAGACCCTTTAAAATTCTGCCTCAGGTAGCTGTTAGCGTAGAGCTCTGTCCAGTTCTGCGTAGCTGCCTCACCATTAGCTCTAGTACCAGAAGCTGGAAACCTTGATAGCTGAGCAGCCGCAGGGAGAGAAAAAAACATTTCTACGGATTTGGGCAGATAATGAAAGGAAACAAAAACAGGTGATGGATCTTTTTACTCCAGAACCTGTAGCTCTCCTGTGTCCAGGAACACGACAGTTCATGCTTCCAGTCCTGTTAGACCTGTCTTGTACAATTTCTGATGACAGGGACAAGTGCAGTGTCTGTTCCATACAGTCCTCAGTAGTCTAAAAGCAACGTACCCATCATATGGCAAGAGAAAAATAGCCCTTTGGAGCATAGCTGAACCCCTATCCCCTTGCACAGGTAAAATACCTATCTATTGCACCAGTTTTTCCAATGTACCAGGAAGGATCATAAGGGTTGGTGACTTTCATTGCTATATGCATTTTTCTGATAAGTTCAGTGCTTCAGAGGGGAAGGTGACCTGGAGAGGGCTGCCCTTGGCTGTGGAGCTAGCCCCACTGCCATACTGGATTTCATTCACCAAGAAGACGTTCTCAGAGTCCTGCCCCTGCGAAGAGTCCGAGGTCTCTGAGCTGCGCAGTGTCCTTACCGATGTAGTGTCGGACTGAGCCAAACTGGCGCCGGGGCCCGGGAGCAGCACGCGGCCCCCGATGCTGCTTTCACTTAACTCTGGCGGGTAGAGCAGTGTCTGGGAGGTGCTGCTGATCTCCCTCAGCTCCCGGGAGATGCAGGAAGGTGACTGACTGGACATGGCAGACGAGGTCCTGCGGCCATCCGCGCAGTTGAAATTGCCCCTTGGGTGCTGCCGCCGAGCGCCACCAATTCGGCAGAAGAGGCATTTGATCTTCTCGATGGCTTTGCTGAGCACAGTCTTGCGGAGCAGGATGTAAACCCACGGATCCAAGATGGGGTTCACGGAGGCGATGCGGATGGCTTGCAGGTCAGGGTTTTGTCTGATGTCCCTCACTGTCTCAGGCTGGTACAGCTGGTTCACAAAGATGCGGACCTGCCCAAGGGGGTGGCAGGGAGGAGAAAGACAAATTTACATCAGGAGAGTTTACGTTTCAAAATAGGGATTTAGATTTGCAACAGAAAATTACAGCAAAAGAAGGGGCTGGCCAAGCCAGGAATCTCAGATCAATGATCACAAGTTTATTTTGGGAAATAGCAAAAAATTAGATGCATCTGCTGTAAATTGCCTTGTTGTAGATAGGAAAGTTCACTTTCCTCACGGTTAAAAGATTCAGCTACTTCTTCCTGTGAAAATTTTTAATATCAAATTTTGTCTGCTGTTTTTCTTTCTTGCAAAGATTTAGAGCTGTACTCATTGCTTCATTGTGCACCTCAAATCCTATGCTGCCAGCAGAGCGATGTCTGACTCCACAGCAGAGATCTGCTCAATCAATATGTGGTTGCTATCGCAAAGGTCTAGCAATTGTATGGTTAGAAACTGAAACCCTGATTATAATCCAAGAAGTAAACTGGTCTCTAGGAACAAGTCCAGAGCTGTCTATTCTCTAGTTTAGAAATACATTTTGCTGACAGCTGCCATTGCTGGACTTTCCAAGGTTGAAATACCCTTAGCTCTGTGCTTGTTGCTGCATGTTTTGAGGAGAGAGAAAATGACCCCCCAGCCACAGGTTTTAGTTGATTGGGGTGACTCCTGCACTGGAATATTCTATTGTCCCACATAAGCCAACATATTGGTTCTACTTAAAAATGCATAAAAAAGGATGAAATGGTCAAGGTATTAAGGTGTCTGAAGTGGCTGGATTAAATGACTATCACTTCTAATTTATTGCACAAAAAGAAAATAAGGCTAAAGAGAAGTATCTCCTTCAGGTATATATATATATATGTATGTATATATTTAATCTAAGAAAAGAATGGTAATTGGGCCATCCCGTGGTTTATGGCTGATTTTTGTAAATTCTGCTGTAAGCAAGGAGCAGTCCAGTTCCTTTGATATCAATTTCTGTTTTTCCGATAACACCCAGGAGCATCACATCAGGTGAGTTTATTAGGCTGAGCATCTCGAATAGCTGCTTTCCATTTTAGCAAGACTTACGCTATTCTGTGAATTTTAGGAAGTCCTTTGAAAGCTCTTGGAAAGAAGTTTCTATAGAAGATGCCATTTTCTTCAGAGTCTTTAAGGTGAGTGGAAGTAAATAACTAGTTCTCTTATCTGGTAAATATCTACTAGCAATATTGTAGGCTTTTTAAAGTCTGATCTTGGCCTTGGCCTTGATTCCTGGAAAGAAGACGGTCTGGCCTAGCTGAGAATATTACAGGCAGGGAGGCAGCCAAGCATTTAAATGAACTGAAGCCAAATGTAAACAGCCTTCTTAAGTCATTTTTATTAGAAGTAGTGTGTATGCAGCCCTCCGAGTCTGGTGAAAAATTTGACAATTTGCTTTGGAGCAGAGCAGTGTGAGGTTGGTAATCTGCCTGTCAGAAGTCAGAGCTGAATGCGCTTTAAAGCTATAAAAAATGTTAAAAATATATGCAGAAATCCCTCTTTGGGGCAGGTGCAAAGAGTTGAGGGGGTCTCAAACTGCTCTTTGGTCTGCTTAGGTCTCCTCCCTGAGCCTCCTCTATACTTCACCAAGCTTTCACATAAAATATTATCTGAAGTACTTTGTTTTATCAGCGCAGTGATGAATAACTAATAGCTGGGGAGAACCACCAGATTTGGTGAGCCAAAAGGCACAGGAGCCCTGAGAATTCCTGGGTGATGTAGGATGCCGTTACTGTCGCTGAGCATGATGACAGGAGGACCACGATGGCTGTGGATGCAGTCTCTACTCTGATACTACAGTAAAACATTCTATACTCATGTGGTGGGTAAGTTATGGCTTGCTAAAACTCATCAGTAGTCAACAACAGGCTCACGAAAAAGTGTAAGAACCAGGGAAATGCCGAGTGGTCCCTTTCATGCATGTCCTCCCAGCCATCAACTGTGATTCCAGGATTCCGTAAGCTGAAGAATGAATTTGGATCAGGTTTATTTATTTATTTATTTTTGGAGCATTTACATTTCTGGTCTGCAGAGCAGCCTGGAACCTGTAGAGCTGCGGGAAAAACGATTTCCTTTTTCCTGTTTGTTTTAAATCTGTGGCTTGATGGGCAGACTATGTTGCCAGGTGACTGAGGTGGTCTCTGGCTCTCCTGTCACAAGAGGGGCCATGAGTGGCTTTTCCTGTTCCCCACTGCTGTTTTCATCAGGACTTTGTAAGCTCTTGGGACACCCATCCTCAAACTGTCAAGTCTACATGCACAGGCTCTCTCAAATCAGTGACTGTCAAATCAGCAATTGGCTCTCTTCTTTCTCCCTGTACTTTTGCCTAGTTTTAAGAGTAACAAAACTTTCTCACAGAATTTTAAATGGGAAAATCATTAATTTACCTAGCAATATAGGGGTAGGAGTTTTATTCTCTGTTACTTTTCTAATGACTTCTACTACTGCAGATTTCTTTTTGACAGATACTTACTACTGAGCTGATTTTTTCTGCCCAGTCAAACCTGGAGTTGAGGTACTTCAAAAGTATTCCTATATATATATCAAGCTTATTTTTATGTTTTTTTTTTCTTTTATTGAGATACATTTACTTTGAGTTTTATTACCATGTGGCATTTTATCTTATTTCCATGCTGCTGCAATTGCCATCTGATGTCCATCAGCAAAAGATTTCATGTACCACTGGCTGACAGAAGACCAGTCCCTCTGGAGTCTAAAACTTACACATATCTACAATTTTGCTAGTGCTTATTGATGATGTTTTTAATAATGCACTCAAAAATCTCTTTGTCTGTGCATGGGTCCAGGAAAGCCGCTTTTTTTTATCTGCCTTAACTACAGCATTCGTCATCACACCGCTAGGTGGCACAGATGTCATACGGTCACAGCATCCCGGGCTTCAAAACCAGAGGGAAAGGAGCCCTGTTGGCAGCCCTGCGCTGACGGGAAGCAGGGAGCAGTTTCGTGAAATAAGAGAGTGAGCAAAAGTAAGCGTGCTACTAATGATACACTTCGCAGCTGTGTGAAAGTTTTGTGACTTCATTTATAAGTTTGGGCAAGTAAAACTGCTCTTTTCTGACACAAGCTCTAACCTGAAAGGCAGCAGTCAGACTCTGAAATGGAAAGGATGAAAAGTGAGTTTATGTGAGTGCATTTAACATCAGCTAAACTCCGTTCTTGAAATATCTACTGGCCATTTGTGTGAGATTTTTCTCCTCCCCTAACTGGTGAAAGGTTTTAGATACAGATTTTTTTTAATAGAGGATTTACAGTTACATTACAGTTCTTTCCAGATTTTCCTCCCTATATTCTGTAAGGAGATCTTCCTCATGCAGAGGGATACATCTTGGAGATCTGTAAATGCTGGCCAAAGTATTTGATCATTTCTATTGAACAGGTACCTGCCGTTAGACGTATGAGTCCAAAGGACAGCACTGTGGGAGTGCAGACCTTCCAAAAGCTAATACTACTAACTGCACTAATTACCAGGAAGATATAGATAGAGGAGTGATAGGGAAGGGTATTTACTGATAAATTCACCCAGATCACAGAGTCAGAAGTTATACTCTGATAGCTGAAGAAGTACATAGTCCAACTTCATAGATGTTTCTATTCTTTCCTTCTTTTTTAAAAATGTAGCTACACATTTCTATACATTAGAAATTTAATTGTGGGATTGTTGTTTTGAGGAAAATATCTGAAATGCAGGTATCCAATTCACCTTTCTGGCACTCTATCTGGCAGAGTTCATGGAAAGACAAAAATACGTTTAAATACTGGTTCGGTGGCTGGAAAGGACAGTGTTTAACTGCTCAGCACATCTTTATATCCTTTTGACAGGTGCATGATATGTGGGTAAATGATTCCTAACGTGGCCCTACATAGGGAAAACTTTGAACTGTGCACAGCTGCTTCAACTTGCCAGAAAGGTTATGCCATCTCTTAATACAAGCCCAAAGAATGTTAAATGCATTCCGCAATTCCAGCCTCCTGGCTGGACTGAGTCTTAATCAAAATATGATAAAAAAATCTTTTTTTCTTCATTTCTTCACACACCAGAAGCTAATCTGATGCTTGAATATATGCAATGTGAATTTTAATTTACAGTCATATTAATTCAATCGAATTAGGAAAGAGGCAAACTAGAAGAAAAGAAAAACATAGTGTGGAAAATGTATTTTTTTCACGTAGAACTTCATGTAGAACAGGCTTGTTTGCAATTGTTTATCTTTAAGTGACGGGTAATTGTAGGATCAACTACAGCCCTGTGCTGTTTGCTGCCCCCCTTTTCTGTTTACAAAATACAAATAATCAAAATTTCCATTTCTATGAAGTACTGTCAAGTGACTTGTTTCAGTTTTATATATAGATATACGTATACACACACACATATACATATATATACATAGTTATAGTGATTCGCACAGAATACTTGAGGAGTAGTTGTCTCCATAATTTCCAGCTGTTCTCATAATATATGTCCACACATACCGATAGCTTTGAAAACGGTACAGTAGTAAGCAGGAAACAAGTTTTTCGGCTCTACAAGTCAATAACCTTTGTCCTCCAAGGGCTTGGTGCCTGCTGTAGGAGATCACCCCATTGCTCCAAACCTCTGTCTGCCACCTTGCTCTTGCCTGCGTGCAGTCTCTGATACGGTGGAGAAGAAAAAGCAAACCGAGCCAAGCCAAATCCAAACTTTTAGATCCATTAAACATTAAGTTAAATTCCTAGTTCTTTTGTGTGATCAATGAGATCTAGAGCATGCTATTTTATATCTTCTCTTTCATTTTGATTTAACAACAATTTTCAGCCATCCGAATCAGAAAATGTTCATGTCCTTACAAAACCAGATTTTTTTTTTAAGGCTGGTTAATAATTTCTTCTGTATTTCTCACGAACTTTCTCTAAATATAACTTATTCCCTACTTAACTATTTCTGATTTTTATTTTTTTTTAGAAAAGTGAGATAACCAAACCAGAGTGCGGATAAGAGCCCAGCGTACATTTTTTTTTCTTATTTCATTTTTAAACTATTGTCAGATTCTTGCTCATGCCTTCCACATCACTTTCCTGCATATCAACACCACATCGGGTTATATGGCAAGTTTATTTTTAGTAATATGCATTTCTTCCAATGCTATTGTAGATAAATTTGATCAACTTTCAGTTCTGCCGAGTTCACTTTAGACAATCCTTTATGATTTTGTTACAGTACTTGTCGTAAAGACGTGCTGATTTTCTGAATAAATCACTCAAACACTGACGGCTTCAGCTGCAGGCTGGAGTATCTCATTATGAAAAACTGCCACTTTCTGTGACTCAGTTTGCTGCTCTTTATACACTTCAACACCAGACAAGCCTATACTTATATTATTGAAATATTATTTAATATTTCAAGACTAAGATTTTTTTTTGGTCAAACTCTAATATAACCCCATAGATCATTTCTGTCTACAATTTTATGAAATTACAAAATAACTTTTACTTTTAAAAAGAATGTTAATTTTGGGTCCCTTTCATAAGTTGTTTTGCTTTGTCTTAAACTTTACTTTATTCTGGTTAAATCATCAGTAGGAAATCAGCCATCAGAAAAATGTAAGTCACAAAGCACACTCTGTGCCTGCTTTATGTAACTGAACTTTGCCTCCACCGCCACTTACTACTTGCACTTTTTCTGTGTGTTTGCCAGGCTGCTTCTCTTCCTTCTTTGCCGGAAGAGCTCTCACGTTTAATTCTGCAGAACTCCTTTGAGTCATTAAAAACATACATACACGAGTGATCTTCCTGTCTCTTAGAAAGAGGGACTTACTTATATTCCTCTTTCTAAGGACTAGAGATAGAATTCTTTCTTTCTAAGGAATTATATCATAGAGATATTGCTTCTATGGCTACTTCTTAACTTATTTTGGAACTTGTAAACTCAATCTATATGCAACAGCAGAGGGTGCAGCATGAAGTGGTTTGCACAGTAGCACGTTGTGGTATTAATGTGCAATGCATGGCTACAGCTTTCTCCCCACAAGGAGAGGCAAAATTACTTAAGCTACTTTTGTAATAACATAACTTCATTATACTGGACATCATAATGATTAATCCATATGTGGGTTTTCTTTTTTAAAAAACTTTTTTTTTCTTAAATTGTGCTTCTAAGTGAAATACAAACACAGTGAAATGACCAAGTCTTTAATTCCATCTTAAATACAGAAAAGGTGTGCTGCTTTATCTGTGAAAAGCTGACATGTGCGAACAGTTCCAAGGCAACAAGGTGCCTTTTAAAGCAGTGGGAATCCAGGTCTGAGAGAATTACAGAACTTCATCACCTGCACCTTCACACACCACCTGATATATGCAACTTATCCACCAGCAACTGTTTAAATGGTAAACCTCTTGCCCCACCCAGCTTCATTAATTTTAATTGTCAACAATCCAGTTCCCTTTCTGGTAGTCCCTTCCCCCCACTCTTTTTTTTAAAGCTATTCTGTAAGAGCCTACCTACTCCTAATGAATATGGACAGTTTAATTTTTGTATTTTACATGTGGACTTCTCAGCCTTCCTCAGCTGTTCCTCCAGTGGCTACAGACTTGGGTTTTTTTCTAGAACTGCTGGAGCCCATTAACTGATATCCTGTATCACCTTACATCACTCTATTTCACTCCCAGGAGCTATTCTCTGCATTTACAAGCATCTCTTCTGAAAATACAGTATCATGCTTTTGTGAAATGGCTGCTGCAGCACTAGTTTAATGAAGCTGTGTCCACCCGCGGGCCCTGTCCAGGGCTGCCCAGCCCGCGAGCGGAGCCTCCGGCTGCCGCAAGCCGCGGAGCAGGTTCCTAGGGCTGACGGACCCGCTCCCCGCAGAGACACCCTGTGTGCAACCCCAACAGCACGGCCCGTTTCCTGCAGACGACCAGCAATGGGCACACGGCAACGTGCTCGGCTATGCAACGCGCAATGACAGCCCTGAAGGACAAGGGGCTTGAGCGGCAGCTGGGGAGACCCCGCTGCGGCCCAGCCACACTTCACTGCCTGCTCTATATGCCAGTAATGTGGCTAAACTGGCCTGTCCCTGACATCTAGAGCCGCCTTTGGAGCGGGGGGTGGACTCACTGACCTCGCAAACGCCTTCAGACTGATTTTTCTAAACCTCTGTATTGCATTTTACATGGTGTTTTTTTCTCTTGACACTAGTTGGCCAAGTGTATTTCCCACACAGCGTAACCCCTCTATGCAGGACTACCGCAGGAACGTTCCTACCTATGATAATTCCCCTCATAATTAAACGTCTTCTAAAACCACTTTTTGTCTAACAGCTACTGCTTGGCTCCCGAGTTGTATTTGGAAGGTGGCGAGTACATCAAGCCAACTGCGTGTTTAACATCTCCATGCCAGAAGAGGAGAGGCGTTCGCCAAGCTTTATAGCGGTGGGTGGCAAGCGGGAACCGAGCCCGGAGCTCTGTTGTTTTTCTTCCCTTTTCCCCCCCTTCCTTGGGGATAAGGTGGAGGAATATAAGAAAGTGGATCCCACACATTTGGTTCAATGACAATTACAGTATCAGCTGATTCAGGAAATTAGCAAGCAATTAGTGGTGATGTTGTCTGACAGTTTGGTGAGATCTTGAGGCTTATGCGGGCCAGATTCTTGAACTCTCTCTTAACTGAAAATTATACCAACAAGTGGTTTAGCTGATTTTAGCCCTCTCTCCCTAGGAGGTTGTGGCAGGATAGACCCCGAAGACAGTGACTAGCTCAGGGTGGGGGAACTCTGTCTCATGGCGGGGTGCAAAGCACTAAGTTTGTTGGCACATGCACAGATCTCTCCTCCTTCCTCATGGTAATAAATTGTGAGCCCTTCAGAAACAGCATGGACATCTTTAAAAAACATGGTACTATGCAGAAATGCAGGTTAGCCCCAAGACTCACTCGTCACAAATTAATTTTACAGGTGAACTTTGAAGCATCTTGAGCTCTGACTACATTTTCTGCTGTGTGGATTCCACTTAAACAGAAAAAAAAAGTATTTAAAAGTTTGCTGATACTGAATTTTTAGCAATCAGAGCCTAGAGGTTTGAATGTGTGCTCCTTTTCCTCTTCTAAATGTAAATTAAAACATATTTATATCAGGAGGTAGGGTTTGTTGTTGCAGTTACTCTGACAGTTAGCCGCACTGGCTAAATGTGATGAGCAGAAGAGAGAGACTCAGCAGTGTGGGTGATGGAGAAGGAGAAGGGTTGCACAACATTACTCACCACCAGAGGAATGGAGCAGATGAGCACCACCAGGGAAGTGGCAATGAGCAGAATACCCATCTGGATCTCCGCTCCAGCCATACGACGGAAGCTCCGGCGTCTGCGAAAGTCAGATAAGCGGCTGGAGGTGGTGTCCGTGCCCAAGGATGTGCGCCGCATGAACTGGCGGTGCATGCGGATGAGGGCCACGCACACCAGGATGTTGCAGATCACAGTGACCATGATCAGGAAGGAGCTAAAGCCGGCGTACATGTAGGAGTATGCTGCGTGAGTGGCCTCCTTGGCTCGCCAGTCTATGAAACACCAAGTCTCGGGGTACTGCAAGGTGGATTTGCTGAGCCCCATGCTGGGGAGGGCGCAGAACAGCACGTTGGAAGCGTAGATGGCAAAGAGCGTGAGCCCTGCCAGCTTCTTATCTACATAGTGGTTGTAGAAATAGGCATGGTTGATGGCCAGATACCTCTCTATAGACATGGCACAGATAATGCTGAGGCCAGAGAGTCCGAAGAAGAGGAGGATGAAGGAGCTGTACTCACACAG